AACTTGTTAGAAGTTACTATAATGATTGTGTATGTATGTTTGTAGGAAGGCAGAATTCAATAAGTAAAAATTTCAGTTTGTGGAGTTTTTTTCCCAGAATAATTTCATCATGTAAAGAGAAGAATTCCTACAGTGTCTACACTGAATCAATGGCTCCTTTGTAGGTTATGGAACAGCCTCTTTAAGTCTCCAACTCTTGGTCCTAAAGTGACCTGAGCAGTAGGGGCTCTGAGAATAGCTTTCAGGATAACCCCACAATGGCTTTCAACTCTCTGCTGTCAAGGGTATGGCAGTTGCATAATTAACCACAATAGCAACAAGTAATACACTTAAAACAAAAACTCTGTTGCCATTTAGGTGGACCAAAACAGAAAGAAAGAAAAAAAAAAGGACTATCCATTCCCCATGGTATAAATTATAGCTATGTATATACTGAAATTTCCTATTTGCATTTCACATAAAATTCACCAAACTCCTCATGCACTCATTACTTACCCATTATGGGGTTTTTAAGTGGCAGTTTTAAAGTTTGCTTTGGCTCAGGGTAAATTATTTGCCCAGACTTTATTCCTGCAGTCACGACTTCTTCACCTTTTGCAAATCCATAGCTCATTTTGTGGGTGGTAGTGGCCTGTGTACATTTGTGGGCATAGGTGGGAGCAGTCTTAGGATACCTTAAATGGTGGAATCTTTTATATGTAAGGGTCCCAGCATCCAGAGTAATTCAGCAGTCAAAAAAAAAAAAAAAAAACCCAAAACAAAAACCCAACCCAAAACAAAAAAACCAAACAGCAAAACTGAGTACAGAATAGCCAATAAAGGCAACAGCAAAAATTAGCTTACTTCCTTGCAATTAAGCATATACTTCTTAGATAATCTGTTGATTTAATAGATGGAAGTCATGTACCAAAAATTTAGTGACTGGGTATCAAGAAGTGTAAATACAAAAGTCTGTGAAAAGTTAAAAGTGAGGCAAAGCTGCCTTTGAGCATAAAATATAGTCTTGAATTATAATCTACCATGAAACACAATGTTGGGTATAGATGATCAGAGGAAAATCTTTCTAGTGTGTACAGTCAATAAAAAAAAATGGGATCTTCATCAGTACTTTATGAGACGAATTAGGGATGGAGCAAGGGAGCCATCGACATTTACAAATTCCAATAGGGCAATGAAAATTCTCCCTGCCTTCAAATCTCTCCCCGACTTACCTGTCCACTCTTGGCTTCAAATGGCTTCCAATATAGTCCCCAATGAGCTCAAGAGCAAAGGTGAGGGGCATTATCGAAGAAATGAAAAGACACAGTTCTTCGGAAAGTTCGAAATGTAGTTTCTAGGTTCACAGAGATTTGAGCTTGAAGAGATCACACTCACTGCTTAATTCCTGCTTCATCTTAATACACACATTTTACAGATGTGACAACTGGTCACCAGGCAGTAAGCGACTGGCTCAAAATCACACAGCCAATTAATGGCAGAGTGAAGGATGAAAATGCTGATTTTCAACTCTCTATCTAGAGGTATTTTTCACACTGCTGAGCACTGCCTGTGCCCAGAAGGGATGAGGGAAGGGACTAGAGTGCTTCAGTGGGGGATGAGTCTCAGTACTGGGGACAGTATAACAACGGGGTGGGCCACAGACTGAAGACCTCACTGATACATCTTCTGATGTCAAGATTGTTCTTTTTTAACCACTAAACGAGGCACGAAAAGCTTCATCTTTCTCTGCTGTGCCCCTTTTAATAAAAGGATTTGTTCTGTACAATTTGGATGCAGTGAAAAGGCCACACTATAGGATCTAGAAAAGGCCACATGTGGCCCCAAGGCCTCAGGTTCTGCACCCCTGACAGGGTATGGGGCTTCTGGATTTGTGCCTGGATACAGTAGTTTACTTTTTTGCCTAAGACTGTCTTAAATGCCAAGGAAAATTGAATGCCATTAATAATACCATCACATAGTAGACTGCTCTTCTAATGATACAGTTTATCTGCAGGTAAACTATATTCCCCAGTGAAGTATTATGTTTCTTTTACTCAACCGCAGTCTTGTGCCCTGACACCAGTTCAATGATGGGGTTTATTGTTCACTCACAAGGCATGAGAACACTGGACATTTTCATACAGTCATTTGTGTGTTTGGAGATTGTTCCAGGTTTTATGAGGGGCAGTTGTTACCTAGTTATGGAGATGCATCTATCTCAACTTTGCACCAAGCTAATGTGTAGTCATGAAAACCATGCTAAGTAGAAAAAGAGGTAAATACTCTCTACCACCTAAAATGAACCCCAAGTGGCCTAAGGTGGTTTTCAACACTTGCATTTATTTCATTTGGAAGTGGAGTTTAAACAAAACATCATTTGCTATGGAACCTGTCCCTTTGAAAATACTATTACTGATTAAGTTTTCCCAATGATTTCTTGGGTATTAGGTAGCCCTCAAATATATTTAAAAATCAAGTGGTTGAATTTCCTCTTATGGGATCTCAAAATACAGGGTTTTTTTCCTTTGTAATTATAAACTATCAGGTTTTCAAATGGTTATGAATTTTTTTAAGATGTCTTTGTATTATTCTTGTTAATAATGTTACATTACCACCTGACATTTAGTGTTGGGATTTACTGGATTTCTAGAAAAAGTATAGTTGAAAATTGTAATATCAAATTTCATTAAATAGGTGTCAAAACAAAGCAATTTTATTGTTTTTCATTTAATTATAATAGAAGAATTCAATTCTTATAATAGAAGAATTCAATAAAAATTATAATAGAAGAATTATTCTTGAATTCAAGAAGAATTATAATAGAAGAATTCAAGTTGTTTTTTATTTAATTATAATAGAAGAATTCATTTTATTATAATGAATATATGATTCTAATAGTAAAAAAGCTAAAATTCTCAGCAGATAGAGGACAATTAAAAAAGTCCTCACTTCACAAGAAAACTGGATATTAATCAGTTTGTTTAAATGGTTGATCAGTGATATACCCAACATGCTAACTTTTCTTAACAAACAAGATTTTCCTAAATGAGCTGCCTCCAAAAATATTATTAGCTGTCATTAACTTCCAGAGATGTTGTTTTAGGTTGGAAACCTTGGTGATCCATCTCACAAGGCATGGCTGGAATGAGAGACCCTTGAAATTGCTAAATGAGAAGAACTGAAAAGGGCCTTGGGAAGTCATGACCCGGTAGAGGTGTTGGTTTACAAAGTGTGAAGCAGGCAATTCAACAGCTGCACCCAGGAAGCAGCGCCACAAACTCCCGTGGCTGGGAATCCGAGAAAATGTCATTTGGAAGGATGCTTAGATACCACAGCCATAGCAGACCCTTAGTTAGTTTGGTCTCACTTCTGTGATAGGGAAAACTCCTTAATTTGGAATACAGTTCAGTATTTCAACAGAAGATTATTAAAATGAAAAGCAATTAATTATCTGCTATTTTTGTTGTTGTTGTTGTTTTAGACAATTTTTAGGGCCCCAAGGACCAATTCACTAAGGGCTATGCTCAAAATCTGAGGTGCAAATTCTTCAGTAAAGGCATTACATTCAGGGCCCACTGCTGGATTTCCCAGCCTCAAGGTGTGGACCTGGACAGCTGAGTGCCGGGCTGCTACCCTGTTACAGGAAGAGGAGCTGGGCTCTCCCACTTCTACGTGAGAATTTAGTCCATAGAAAAGCTCATTATTTTGGTTTAAAGGACTAAGTAAGTGACTGCAGGGCAAGAATAATGGGTTGGATGCCAAAATTTTTAGAATTTTTTAAATGTTTATTATCCACAGCCTTAACAAAACTTGTTAACAAAAAAATTCTTAACAAAGGCACTTGATGGGAAGATGTGTTGACAATATATTTTTAAAGCTCTTTGACTTCCTTGGAAAGAAAAGTTTTGTTTTTTTAATTACTTGAGAAAAATACTGAGAGATTCATTAACAGTAGGTCAAAAATTTTTAAATTTTGATACCCTTAAAAGCAGTGTTTCAAGGTAACACATATCAGGGTAGGTTGTGGGGTGTGTGTATATACATTACCTATATGCTTTTTCTTTGATTATAAAGAACGAAAATACCAAATTATGGAATTTTAGGTCTTAATTGTTAGTGAGATATAGGTGCTATAATTAAACACATCGTTTCCCTCACTTTGTACAATTTTTTGTCCCCTTCTACTCCATTCTGAATGACATTCTTATACATCTGTTCCGCAGGAGTAGTGGGGCAAGACCCATTTGAAGTTTAAATCCATGACACCCTTTATGGAACATTGGCAACCTGATTACAACAATGATCAAGCAGAAATGCAGAAATGCTTTTTTTTTTTTTTTTTGATAAACAGGGCCAAATTCAGTCTTCCTAAAGAGAACACGAACGAACACATACACACACGCACGCACGCACACACACAGCCTATATTCAGAGCTGAGGTTTTTCTTCTACCCCCAACTAATAAAATCAGGAGGCTGCTATGAGGCCGAGCGGCATGCAGTTTGATGTCCCCAGCAGGATACGGGGAGTCAGAAGTGGCGCTGTAAATCCAGTGTGGGGCTTCAACGCCATGTGAAGTGTGGCCCGAGTCTCAGAGATTTCCCTTTGATGCAAGTTCAGTATATTAATGGGAAAAGCATTCACTTTTATTTGTCTATACTGTCTGCGACAGCAAGGCTGCCTCATTTAGCCCGGGCCAACATGAAAATACACAGAGAAGCAATCTGTTGCAAATTAGCACAACTCTCCTTTCATTTACTAGTTAGTAATTGGAAGGGGTTAACAAAGTGTAACTTATCAGATCGTGTGAGTGTATCTGCTTGTGTGGACACCAAGCTTTCTCTGAATTTCCCCATGACACCCGAGGCAAAAATCTTTCCTGGAAGTCCACTTGATTGGCCCCACCAGCCCCCCTCAAAAATCAACACTGATGTGTGTGAAATGTGCACACCTTGTTAGGTTTGAGGGGGCACTTTCCTAGACTCCTGCAAGGTATATTAACATCTTTATTTGAGCCTTACCTTTCTTTAGATATGTTTTTACTCTCCCGCTTCCAAATCGTCTTGAAGTCACTGCAGAACTCGTACCACACCATAAACACATAGCTCGGTGTGATGTCCTTCTCACCGGACTTTGGCTTCATCCCAAAATATTCTACTGTTGTTTCAAAACTGCAACAAGTAGGAGGGAAAAATGGAGTGAGGTAGAGGGTGAGAAACTGTCAACACCAAAACCCATTAAGGTGAGGAGAGGAGACGGTAGGTGCAATTTCCCACGTGCCTGTTCTCTAACACGGGGTCCTGGGCTCATAGCTACTGCAACTTATTCTAAACCTCAGGAAACTTATTTGCCCAAACTGATTTGCCAAGAAATGCAACTTTACTGGGGACACACTTGGGCACAGCTTATCTGTGTGTGTGTGTGTATACATATGGGTTTATATATATATACATATATATATATATGGGTTTTTATATATATGGGTTTATATATATATATAAACCCAGCATACATAACATCTGGGGGTATGCAGGTAAAACTTGAGTTTGTTCTTTATCTCAAATCCATGTCCTTTACCTGCTCGCTCTTCATTTTATGTTTAACGATTACATGTAAGACTGATGACAACCTGATTCTGTAGCATTAGCAGTGGTCAGCTAGATAGCCCACTGGGAATGATTAATCTGTTGAATGTTTCACTGAAAATTGGAAAATCAGTTTAACTCTTATTCCTGCATACACTGGCTTTGTAATCTTGGGTCAATCACTCAGTATCTCTGACTTCCAGTTTTCTCAAGGGGAAAATAAGACACATAGATGACATGAACTTCAAGAGGGTTGTATTTTAAAGCTTGATATAAGAATACAGACCACCAATGTTACAAAAAGAGACATAATGGTGGGCAGAGCAAGGTTTGGAGATGGAAAAACATTTCTGATCTTGAAAAATGATCTTCTGTCTTGTCAGTAAAGAACGCAGGTTTTCCAAAGTGGATTTTCAGATACCACTAAGACCTACCTCATGAAGGCTCACTCCACACCAGACTACGTGGGCCTCCCAAGCAGCCCTTCTTGGAGGCACTAGCTTTGCAGCAATTTATAGCTTTGAACTCAATCTTTCTTCCTCACCCCCACCCACCCCAAGCCTCACAAGCTCATTTGCCATGAGCAAGAACACTTAAATAAATGGCCCCTTTTCTAGGGTGTTGGAAACTAATCAAAGCAGGAATGGCTGGCCAGGTTTATTACTCGATGCTCTATCATCTGTTCAGACACAGCGTTTTTTTGTGGCCATCCTGAATACTGATTTTCTAATGGAACTCTATTCAATGGTGATTGTAAAACCCTGAAGCCCCGTTAGTATTATGGTGCATACTTTCATCTCGCTCTCAGTTATTGGGCAATATGTATCTCATAAGATTTTATCACATTTCACAGATGAACTGTTAATTGATTCCATGGCTACGATTAGGCGAGGTCCAAGCTGGAGCTGCAGCTCCGAGTCCCATAAATTCTTTGTGCTTCTGTAAATAATAAATCTGTTTTTAATGCAAATTAAAACTACTGGTCAGGGAATTTTGGCTCCCAGTTATTAAAAGACTGGAAGTGCATAAGTGGAGAAAGGTAATAACTGCAAGTAATCTCTTAAGGGACTCTCTTACAATTCTAAACATACATATTTGGTAGAAAAACCAGTAATGAAATAAAGTAGCAACGTCCACTTTTGTCCCAGACTTAGCTCTTAATTCTGTGACAGTCAAAATACTGATAAAACTAAACATTCCCTCTATGACATATATTTTTATTTCACTCAAAATTAAAAATTATGCTGATTGTAACAGGGGAATATGTAAACAGAGAGTTATCTAACCTACAGGAATATGCCACAAATTTTCTATAAAGTCACAGGATGTTAGAATTGGAAGGGATTTACAGGTTGACTTGCCCAATATTCTCATTTTACAGATGAGAAAACAGAAGTCTGGAGAGACTGAATGATCTTACTCATTGGCAGAGTTGGGCCTAGAACTCAGGTCACTTGATTTGCTATGAAAGCTCCATCTTCTCCACCTTTCTATGGGGCTCATGTTCACTAACACAGGCATTTAAAAAATAAAATAGTCATTTTCTCCCTCTATTTCTACTTTGCACACAGTTGCCCTCCATCACCTAATATGCATTTCTCCCAGGCAGAGCACGTCATTATTTTTCCTCTTTCTTATGCTTAACCTTCTACATAGATCCATATTTATATTAATGCATTATGTATGTATTCATAGAGAGGAGAGAGGCTTTTAATATTTAGAAGAAATAATTTTCATTTTTTACCACAGAATATAGTAAAGTCCAGTCATGCTTCATGAATCACCTCAGTGCCCCTGGCATTATTTAAAGTCTAGATTGGGACAACAAGATGTTGCAAATCCTGGTGTGGTTTCAGAGAACGACCATGTGGCCTGGTGGTTGTCACAGAGCCTGAGGAAAGCACATCACCCTCCTGGGGGCCTCACTGTTCCCAACTCTAAACTGAAGCTAACTGTCATGCCCACTGCCTCTGTCCCTGGGGATCTGTGAGGTCCTGCCTGCTTACCCTCCCTCAAAGGGGACAAAAACTAAAAGAAATATCAAATTCCAGCATTTTTTTTCCCCCTATGTGTTTTGAAAACTAAGAAAGCAAGTGAACCTCTCCAGAAGAACCAAAGTAAACAGAATCCCAGAGAATGGCCTGGCTTTAGTGTTCAGCAACTTTGACAAAGAGGCAGTTGCCTCTTTGTCTTGCTTGATTTCATCATTATCCCTTTAAGAAAAAGCTAAAAGCTAGAATATGAACCTACAACTACTTGATAAGATCACTACTATCTTCTACTCCAGATGAAACTCACTTTATTTCAAATTCAGTTTTGATTCACAGAAGACTGTTCACTTAAAACCTTCTGAAATTTAGGCAAGACAAACCGCCGATATTTAACAATAGGAGAATTTTCTTCGATCGACAGGAAACAAAGGGTCAATCATGCTATTTGAAATCTCTGTCAGCAGGTAACTCTAAAATAGTTCTCAACTTTAAAAAGATTGATTTCTAATCATATGTTTTGTCTTATACAACTTTTTAAAATTTTACTCCAAACTATTTCTGATTCCTTTTCTCTCCGCTCTAAATTCCTAGTCTGATTTGTGTTTTTTAAATTTGTCCAAACGGTTTAAAAGTACACACGATGATTACATCAAAGAGTCCATAGGCAGAGTGAACTGTTTTACTTTTACAGTGCTGAGGTGCCAAAGCAGAACACATCCCCTTATTGTTTCACATGCATGCCTCAGAGACTGCTTAGGAAAAGCAAATTTTCCTTAGCCTCAGAGTAAATTGTTTCTCTCGAGAATAAAACATAAGAATTTACTAAATCTCACACAAATATTGCAACACTGACCACAACCTCCTTAAAGAGTGTAACCAAAACAACTGTGGTTTCTACATTAAAGATGGGATCTAACATATTTCACGTATGACATGAAAGCTAGACTACCTTCATCACAAAGCCACAGAAAATGCTGACAACCAAAATTTATGACTCCCCTCAGCATAGCTAATGTGCGGCAGCAGCTTCGGCCCCTCTAGGGTGGGCCCCCTTTCCTTTAGCAAGAGTCTTGAAAAAGTATTAGAAATTTGACATCCACCCTGGAAGCTGAATTTCTGTCTGGCCTAATACCAATGTGCCCATGTTGCTGGTCTCTTCTCTACATGCTATTTCTGTGACACAGACGTGCTAGTTTGACGTGTTGGGAAGTGACGCTTGATATACGGATGAGGTCAACAGAGAGGCACAATAACTTAAAAATGTAGCCATGGAATTGTCTGACTTTTGAATGATTCTCATGACAGGATGATAACTAGGATTCAAGAACACGCTTGCATTAGAAAAGTGCAAGAATTGCCTTCACCTTGCTTTCATCAGCATTTTAATCTTATTGGTGATTGCAGCAGGAAGCAGGGCAGACAGCACTGTGCACAGGCTTTGGGAACGCTCAGAGAGGGTGGCTAGATAAGAGGCAAATGGTTTGTCTGTACAGTCTGCTTATTTGCATTTACATTCATACCTGGAAAAATCTCCTCCTCACACATTTGTAAAGCTCATTTTCCCCTATATGTTGTCTCCTACCCTACCTCTCCACTTAATTTTCTAGTACTTTTAGAATTGGAACCAGCAAAATTTATCTTGAGTTTCTGCCTTGAATGTGAGAATGCCCATCTATTCCCACTCACCCTTCTGAGACGGAGGGAGAGCCAAGGTGACTAACCTGGCCAAATAAGAAAAAGGAAAAGCCCCTAAGGGATCAGAACTGCCGATTACTGGGTTCCACTGGGCATGGTGGATGGTTCCCCTCGGGTGTCTATTGAGAGAGGGAAGAGCAAGCAAGAGGCCCAAAGCAGGTAAAGTGAGGCTGAACAGAAGACCTCTGAGGCCTCCCAACTACTGGGGGAATTTTCCATAGACTGCAGAGGGCAGTCCCTTCTCGCCCGGCCTGCCCCTGGCTTATAGCATCCTCTGGGATCTGAAGAAAGACATAGTAAGTCTCTTAGGTGTTTGCAATAATTAGTTTAATCTCGTGGTAATGCTAAGAAGGGTTCAGACTGTTCTCAACTTCCATGAAGTGGCCCAGGAGCAGAGTACTGAGGGAGAGGCAGACAATGGAATGGTGTCACAACACGTGTGTGAGGCAGGGATGAGTCCCTGCTTCCCGAGGACAAACATTCCCAAGTCCTGTTACAGTGCTTTGCTCCGGCTCCCAATGGTACCTTATTGTCCATCGATGCAGTCTTAACAAAGGAGGCCCAAAGAGTGGCTCGCCAAACATTATGCCACGTGGGAGAAGGCAGTCACACAAGGACAAATGTATGATTTCACTAGCCTGAGGTACCCAGACTAGTCAAAGTCACAGAGGCAGAAAGCAGTATGGTTGCCAGGGGGAAAATAAATTCATCTTGAAAGGGTACAGAGTTTCAGTTGGGGTAGATGAAAAGGTTCTGGAGATACAGTTGCATAGCAATGTGAATGTACTTTGTGATAACAACAACGACAATATAGAATGGCTGGTCAAAGAAACAACTCCAGCCAAATCAGAGCTGCTTACCTTTTCTGTGCATTCTCCAAGTGACCTTCTTCCATTTTATGCTCTTTTTTGGCTGTGAAAAAAAATAATTATGATTAAAACTCTCTTTTCTTTATTCATTTTTTGAGACAAGAGTCTTGCTCTGTGACCCCAGCTAGAGTGCTATGGCGTCAGCCTAGCTCACAGCAACCTCAAACTCCTGGGGCTCAAGCAATCCTTCTGCCTCAGCCTCCCAAGTAGCTGGGACTACAGGCATGCTCCACCATGCCCAGCTAATTTTTATATTTGTAGTAGACACAGGGTCATGCTCTTGTTCAGGCTGGTCTCGAATGCCTGAGCTCAAGTGATCCTCCCGCCTCAGCCTCCAGAGTGCTAGGATTACAGGCATGAGCCACTGAGCCCGGTCAAAACTATTCTCTCCCATTGTATCCTGTGCATGTTATAGCTTCAATCACACCCATTCATTACCACAATAAGTCTGAATTCAGGGCTTGGCAGCCCCTATCATGTGTCCTGGTGATAGCAATCAATTTGCTACATCATCACTGCTTTCTTGATCACAGGTGGCCAACAGTAGCCAAATTATTTTCTCAGGAACACTTTTGAGATTGATATTAATAATTGGACCTGAACAAAGACATAAACTGGAACAAACCTGGGCAGACCAGGACAAGTGGTCACCCCAGGTACAACTGGCCTGTTTGTGAGCCTGGGCATGTACTGTGTTTTCCCCAAAATAAGACCTACCCATAAAATAAGCCCTAGCAGGATTTCTAAGCATTTGTGCAATATAAGCCCTACCCTGAAAATAAGACTTAGTGGTGGGTGTGGCTACACAGCGTATCTGCACAACCCATGCATTTCATCACGAAGCGGTAAAGGAGATGAACAGCCTTTCTCATCTGCCCCATCATGGCAGCTACTATCCCAGAGGTGACCGGAAAGGTGCGGGCAGCCCCACCAACAAGGTCGGCTCCTCCTGTCAGGTGTCAGCCATCCTGTGTGTGCTGCAAGCTGAGGCTTTGAGGGGAAAATAACACATTCACTGAAAATAAGCCCTAGGGTGTCTTCTTGAGGAAAAATAAATATAAGACCCTTTCTTATTTTCGAGGAAACATGGTACTACCTCTACACACAGGGGCCCTCTTGGGAAGCCCATAGACTTCTGTCAGAAAATTGTTTATTTAAATGCTTTGAAAAAAATCCCATATTACTACTAAGGAAATCAATGATACTGAGATACAATTCTGAATCTACAGATTAAGAACCTGTGTTCTTTCTGCAAAGATTTTAGTTTTGGGTAGTTCTTTTACATATCCTTCTCTGTAATCAGAAGATGATACTGTTATGTATGATAATACCACTCTTATACTTTAAGAAATGTCCAGAAAAATAGGAAAGTTATAATCTATACGAGCCTCAAGACTCCTTTAGTTTAGGACTACAATGACGTAAAATGAAAGGGGGAAAAAAGGGGCCAGGTATGGTGGTTCATGTCTGCAAACCCAGCCTTTTGGTAGGCCAAGGTGGGAGAGTTGCTTGAGGCCAGGAGTTCAAGACCATCCTGAGTAACATAGCAAGATCCCATCTATACAAAAAATTACAAAAAAAAAAAAAAAAATCTAAGTAGGTGTGGTGGTGCATGCCTATAATCCCAGCCACTTAGGAGGCTGAAGTAGAAAGACTGCCTGAGCCCAATTTGAGGCTTCAGTGTGCTATAACTGCACAACTGTAATCCAGCCTGGGTGTCAGAGTGAAACCATGTCTCTCAGATAAGTAAGTACATGAATAAACAAGATTTTAAAATATAACCATTGTATTAAACCTGGACATGCCACTTACTACCTGTGCAATTGTGGACAAGTTCCTCATGACCAACTGCTTAGTCATTGTGTCATCTGTCCTATGAGAATAGCCACAGTGACTACTATCATATAGCTGTTATAAAGATTAAATGAGATAATATATGTAGAGTGCTTAGCACATAACAAGTGCTCAATACATGACACGACAGGTATTATTAGTACATTATCATTGATTTGAAAATGTAAATTCTATCCAGTTGCTCCCTTGCTCAAAGCTTTCTAACGGCTTGACTTGCCATCACCCTAGACATAACATCTAAGGCAGGGGTCCTCAAACTTTTTAAACAGGGGGCCAGTTCACTGCCCCTGAGACTGTTGGAGGGCCACTGGAGAGTGCAGTGCACATTCCACACATGCGCACTGTGGGCCCAGGGATGAGTCGGCTGCTAAGCAGGACAGGCAGCCGAGGCAAAAACACCCGGGGGGGGGGGGCAGATAAATGTCCTCGGTGGGCTGCATGTGGCCCGAGGGCCGTAGTTTGAGGATGCCTGATCTAAGGTCTTCACAGTGTCCTAGAAGACCCTGCAATCTGTTCCCTGGCTCCTTGATGACATCACCTCCTCTTTCTTATGCTTGTTCCTCTCTAGCACCATGGGCCAGCTTGGGCACACTGAGCAGCGTGTGCCTCCGAGGATCTTCGCACTTGCCGTTCCTGCTCCCTGGAAACCCCTGCCACAGTCTCCACGTGACTGGCTACCTTGCTGAATTCAGGTCTCAGCTCAAGAATCACCTTCTCTGGCCTTATTAAATAAAAGATCACCCCTTGCCACTCATCATCCCCCACCATCCTCCAACACTCCCTTGACACCCCCTTAACCCTTCCTTCTCACAGCCTCTATCTACCTGACAGAATGTTCCTTCACTCATTTGTTTGTTATGTGCAACAATGGAATATAAGCTCCAGGAGAGCAGCACCTTCATCTGGCTTGCTTTCTGCTATATAGCCTTAAGTGTGGGAAAGTGCCTATATGCTGAAGACACTGTTAGGTTCAAAATGTATGTATTGGATAAAGCTTGCTTCAGAAGGGAGATATCAGCTTTCCTAATTATAAAAGTTTACATTCAGAATATGAACATAAGCCAAAGGAGATTGTGAGGCTAAAGTTGTACCCTATTATCTCTAAATGTAATAAATGTCAACTAATAAAAATTTTGTTTTATATTAAAATGATTTGGCTTTGACAATGCATCATCTCAGGTGAAGTCAAATCATAGTAATGGCCATCTTTTGCTGCGTGATGTTCTCCCACACTCTGGGTAGGAATCTCTGAATTAGCCTGGTACTCATTTGATCAGATACTGAGAAGTGGCCTGCATTTCTCATAGGTTACCAAGCTCCCCCAAATCTGCAGCAAAGTAGCAATTGGTTCTTATTCAGTGATTTTAAATTATATGCATGGCCAAGCAGGAGGAAAAATTCCTCTGAGGCCTGAGTGATCTTCCTGGAGCATTTTTGCTGTTCTCCGTCATTAGATGGTTTCTAACTGGCTACTTGCTGTGCTAAGTAGACTATGGCCATCATTGCATGAATTTAATGAAAAAAAAATACCCTATTCAAACTGAATTAAGCATTAGATAAGATTTTGCAATAGCTCAATGAATATGGTGATTTGGAAAAAAACAGTATTCAAATGTAAAAAGAAGTATTAGTAAGAGGTAATTCACACTGCAGAACCTCTGAGGGCTCAGGAAAAAAGGCTTCAGGAAAATAAGAAGAACCTAGAAATCTACATTTTTCCTATTCCTTCCTATTACTAAATAAAAAGGGCAACCACCCTCAAGGTGTGACTTGAGAGCTCTACCAGCCGAAGATATTTCTCCTGCCACAATATGGAAAATTTCCAATGATGTCATTATATCTTTACATCTTCAAAACGCTCTATATCTAAGCTAAACATAAATACATTACCCTAGACAGAAAATGTTTAAAGACTGGAGTCACAAACTCAAATTCTAATACCATCAACAAATAAGCCAATTGTGGACCAAGTATAGTAATACCAATGTTCTAAAATTTTATTCCTAGTTTCTCAATACTGGAACTGACAGTCTTAGCATGGGGAAGCAAATGGGGAATGGTAGGGAAGTGGGAAGACCATGACTCATTTATAAGAGGGCAGGCACTTGGCCTTGTTACCAGAACTTCTACTTTTTAAAAGAGAATCTAGACAGGGATTTTTAAATGAACGTCCCCAACTTAAAAAAAAAAAGTTCTCAAACACTGTATGACAAAGGAAACAGTCTTGCTGTCCATATCTGGTTCAGCAACCTCTGAATTTAGCCCTTAGTAGCTACTGACACACTGGCATAGGTGGGTTTATTCTTTCTTTCCATGTGCCAGGCCCTGTTCTAATAACAGGTGCTCAGGATCCATCAGTGAAGCAGACAAAGGGCCCTGGAGAACTTTCAGCCCAGTTGGAGAAGACAGATAATTAAACCGGAGAGAATAAGATTCAGTATAAGTAACTTTTGATAAGGGGTAGCCAAAAAGAAAAAAAAAAAAAATCCAAGGCATAAATGGATGCCTACAGAAGGAGACTCTATGTGAGTTACTGAATTAGGTGTGCCCGGGCAGTCAGAGCATGCCACACAGATACTAGGCACAAACAGGGAGAGACAATGTTTAAAAAGAAGAGGGTGAGTCTTAGATCAAAATCATCCTTTGTCCAGGCTAGTGGTGGCCCTGAACCTATGTCTGGGATTTGCTTAATTTCCTATTCTACGAAGCCACATGTATAATAGTATTTAGGTGTTTCATTTGTCAATATAAATGGTGGTACTACTAGTGTGTGGTCAGGGCTGGGAGGTGTGTTGGAAGAACAGGTTTGGAGCGGTTGTCAGAGGCTCATGCAGCACCAGGAGAGGTGGGGAAATAACAGGCATCCCTCACCTTTGTCCTCCCTCCTCTCTCTCATCCACAAGAAGCTCTCTCACTGCCTGCAATAAACATAATTCTTTTCTAAACCAGTGGAATAAAGTGGCTGCTTAGAAGGATGATAGTCTCACAGCTTTCAAGATAATAAAATCAATAAGGAAAACAAAGCAGAGTACTAAAAGCTAGAAGTTTTGGTTAACATCAGTTCTGCCTTACAAACTTGTTTACCAAGGCTACTTGTGCACAGTGATGATGGCAAATCTCTGGACGTGCTTAGAGAAAGTTGAGAGGGAGGTTTGCTTGGTGACCTACTTATAGCATACTGTCATTTTT